AGCCGCACCCTTGGTTTTTTATTCCGTGAGGCACCCACTGAGGCCTTTACAAACACTGTCTCACGTGTTTGTAAACCGTTAGAACAAACATCTGAGGTTGGACAGAGCTCAAATTTCAGTGACGGCATCAGAAGCCACAGTTAGGAAACAGCAAGAGGGGATGGCATAGAGGACTGTCCGACCCCAGCTCTCCACCATGCCTCCTCCCAAGGTAATGATGAAGAGGGAAATGGGCCAGGTGTTTTAGAATAGCAGCGAGCATTTGAGAACCTGCTAAATTTTGCGTTTTCCAGAGTATCAAGGTCCCCATCTAGGAAAACACATCAGGAAATATGACTATGAATCAGCTGCCTGAGCAAACAGCCAGGATGGAGCCCACATCATCACAGGATTCAACAATATCATTGAAAACATCAGCTGTTTATTCCAGTACATAAAGACGTAGGTTCAAAGAGAACGAGCTAGAGAACCCTGGAAGTCACGTTATTAACCATGTATTTATTTATATCAGCTCCTTTTTCCCCAAGAGTTATACCCAAAGGGCATCACAACAAAGTCATTTTACGAATTGCTGCTAGTTGTTCATGAGTCTGGGATGCACAGAATCTTGTTCAAATCATAGAGGTACAGCTGCCTCTGTCCATCAGGGCTTGTAAATTTAAACCAATTCAGTCCAGAAAGTACTTCTTGACTCCCTAGCATGAGAAAATGTTATACAGAGGCCACGTTGAACACAACGTGGCCCCGACCTCAAGGGACTCATTACCACTAGAGCTCTATTGACCCACAGAGCTACCAGCAACTCTATGAAATTTAAAACTCAGTGCCTATGATGCATCCATGATATCTTTAGTAGTCAATAGCCACATGTGATCGCTGGCCACCATGTTGGGGAGGGCAGATAGAGAGCAAGGCAGTCATTAGGCAGTGTGGCTCTCAGACAAGAGACCTCCAGTAATGTCAGGACTTTGTAGATGGCCCATGGCTTACTCTCAAAGGAACTATGGGGAACACCCACACCCAGACTGGAACTTCCAAGCCTCACATTGAAGACATGCATGCAGATTTTGCTTCTTACTTGTGTTGGAACTAAGGTAAGGTTCTCCACACCTCCGGTCCCATTTGTTTCTGAAGCAAGGACATCAGACTGTAAGACCCAAGACACTTCATCCCAGGTCTTTGTGATGCTGAGTGAATTGGTAAAAACATTCTCCAGTACAACATCCACTGCTTAAAAAAACAGAAAACTGCTTAAAACAGCTTTTATCTCCCCGGGTCATTTTGATTTTATTTTAGAAATTTAATTTTAAAGCGATTCTAATTGCTGTTTGTTTGTTCTATTGAGACAATATTTCTAAATCTTTGTGGTAGTAACATAGTCTGGTAATTCAAGTCATGTCTACAATGTATGAGAACCAAAATAAGGGAAGGAGCATTTCTATCTTTTCAACCACTGGTCTTTGCTGTTCTGCAAATCCCCTGCTCCCCTGGCCACTCTGAGAAACATCACAGCTTGTCTTAACCAATATTTACTCTACTGTGCTGAAAGAAAACCCAAAGTAAATAAGTCCTCCACTCTATGTCTTGGCACCCCATATGGAATTTCGTTCTGTACCCCTTTTCTTCACACCTCCCAGTCTCTAGCAAACACTATTTTATTCTTCTGCAAGTCTGACTTACTAGTGCCTTCAATGAGTGAGAAGATGTGACGCTGGTCTGTGTCTAGTTTATCTTATTTAAATACACGCCAGTTCTAAACTTGCCAAACAGGCAAAATGGGATTATTTATTGCTTATCTTTGTCAAACCTGGAGGTCTCACTAAAGCAAATTTAAACATATGTTCTGTGTTTTTGGTTTGGTTTGGTTTGGTTTGGTTTGGTTTGGTTTGGTTTGGTTTGGGCTTTTTGCTGTTTTTGGTTTTGTTTGTTTGTTGTTTGTTTTGTTTTGTTTTGTTTTTTGTTTTTTGTTTTGTTTGAGACAGGGTTTCTCTGTGTAACCCTGGCTGCTATCATGGAACTCAGTCAGTAGACTCACAGAGATCCGCCTGCCTCTTGACTACCGAGTGCTGGGGTTAAACGCATGTGTCTCCACTGCCAAGCTAGTAAACATGTTTAACTCAGTCCTGAAGCCTCCCTGCCCGAGCAGCAACTGCCAGCCCTGTCTCCCGCGGTGGTGCTGTGGCTTAATTACTGACAAACTGGCTGCAGGCTGGCTTCGCCAGCTGCCTAAGAGTCTATGCATTAGACACCACTCATGCACACACAAAACTATGAATAGTATAAGTTGCTTCTGCCCGGAAGAAATGAAAATTCCTTGGTGTATGATATACTGAAGTCCTTTGTCTTGTCTTAGGACTGGCCAGTGTCGGTCTTAGCAATTAAGTCCTGTTTGCAAGACAATGATTGACTGAAGAAAATCTATTTAGCTCTGTGATGTCTCTGTTCTTACTTGTATTTCTTAAAGAAATACCAATCCAATTTCCTTTTAATCTTAGAAGCCTTTTAAGCCTTGGCGCTGGTGATGTTCTCACACCCCTGTGTTGCTGCTGCCCATTATCAGGTTATCAGCTAGAAAGTAGATTGCTCTGTTTTCTCTCCTTTTATCCAGAGCACCGAGACTACCCCATGGGACCCTGTCCCAGGGCTGAGCCTAGACAGGACAATTGAGTTCAGAAAACCCAGTGATGGTGGGTTTGTTACACCTTGGAGTTCAAATACAGCCCCCTCGTCTGTATTGTGTTCTAACACTCTGGGCTAGGCTTCAGAAGTGAGGAGTTTGCAGTGAACGAGCCGAGTCCGCTTGCCTTTTGCTAGTGCAGTGGAGCTTGGCTCTCTGGTTTCTTAATTGCTTGTGTTTCTGGTTTCTTAATTGCTCCTGAGCCAAGTGAATAGGGGCTTGGTACTCTTCCTACCACTTCCGGGAAGTTTTTAGTCCTCTAGGGCAGTGGTTCTCAACTTTCCTAATGCTTCGACCCTGTAATACAGTTTCTCATGTTGTGGTGACCCCCAACCATAAAATTATTTCATTGCTACTTCATAGCTGTAATTTTGCCACCGTTATGAATGGTAATACCTGATTTGTGATCCCAAGGGGGTCGTGACCCACAGGTTGAGTGAGAATCACTGCTCTAGAGCCTAAGTTTCCTGAGCCACCAGGTGAGGACAAGCAGTATTCACTGTTCAACCTCCAGGACACTTGTGAGCACATGGAGGGATTCCTCTGTCAGCCTCACAGTGTGGCTGTGCAGTGTGTGCTGTCCCTCTGGGCTCTAGTGTGCCGGGAGGAACTCTGCGCCTGAGCTGGAGAGCAAGGAACCCTGGTTCTGCCACAGTCTACCCTTAACTCGGGAGCATCTCTGCAGTTTCTTCCATAGCTCGGGAAAGGTTCCCTCTGACTTCCGGGCTCTCCTGAAGTTAACTGAGCCTGAATGTGCTCAGCGGTCTAGTCTAATGCTCCCTGATGCTTCCCTATTGTTATCTCATCTCGCATTTCTGCTTAAAGCCCCACAGTGGCCTTGTAGTATTCTAGAGATTGTCTGGAGTTCTCCTGGTCTTAGTCTGAAAGCTCATGTCCTGAGAAACCTGCTCAGTTGGTCAGTAACATTCCAATATCCAGCAGAGCGAAGGATCTGGTCCCAACCACTCACCACCTTCCACCCAATGCCTTTCTCTGTGCTTTGTGAAGACCTGGGGAGGTGTTTTGCTTTTTTTTTTTTTTTTTTTTTTTTAAGCAAAATGCCTGTGCCCTGGCCTTGACTCTCAAGATTCTGAAGTAGAGCCTCTGGCATCTTTTTAAAGCTATCCAATGCTCCAAAGTCTGAAGGAGGTTGGGGCCCACTGCTCTACTCCTGTAGGTCCCCAGAGACCCCAATGCTGCTCCTTGTGGTCAAGCTGACCTCCGTTTTCTTTCCTCTGCCTGCTTTCTGTCTATCCTCCTTCTGCTCATGCCTCTTCCTCCAGGTAGCCTTCCTGGATCCCTCCCAGTAGACCCGGCCCTCCGCTGGATGCCCTGAGTTTTTTAGGCGAAGCCTTCCTGTCATTCTACACGGCACTTATGGTTTACTACAATCTTTCCCTCATCAGGTTTGAGTCTGTTTCAGGGAGAGATGGTTATCTTCTCTCCTTGTACCCATGGAGCCAGGCAGGCTCTGGCACGTTGCATACAGTCAGTAGATATTCGTCGAACAAATTAATCAAGACAAGACCATCTGACCTCTTGTGAGCTACATTCTAAGAGTCATGGACACAAAACTCAGTGTAAAACAAAATACCAGTACAATATAATTACTTCAGCAAGTCTCTGCAAGTGAGGACCCCTAAATTCATCTCAAAGAAATCCTTAATTTTGTTCTTTTATAGCTCTCTCTCTTTCCCTCCCTCCTTCCCTCCCTCTCTCCTCCCCTCCCCTCCCCCGCCCCCAGAGAAGAAAAGGGACATTGGGGTAATTCCACTTTCTCGGAGTGAAGTTGTAAATGAAAATGGTTTCTCGGATGCAACCATTTTGGCCGTCTGTTTCTCTGCTTTCTTCTTCCTGGTTCGTCCCTCAGCTGGCTGGCTGGCCTGTGTATGTTTGGAGAGAGCCAGGAAGGTTCAACGCCAGCAATGTTTCTCTCTTTAAAAGTCTTTTATCCTCAGGCTTTCTGATCTTCAAAGCAGACTATGTCCACCGTGACCCCACTCCCTCGCTTCCCCATGCTGGGGAGTGAGAGGCTCGAGTATTTGTGTCATTTTGACAACTTGCATATTTGGACTGCCTTGGACAGCTGGGGGAGCATGGTCTCTGTTAACTCTTCAGGGATAATGGCCTGTCACCACTTCTAGGATCCTTGCACCCATGAACCTAGTCACATGAAGAAATTAATGCCAGACCCTGGAGTCAACCAATTATTAGGTACACAGGTCTTTTTGGGGGGGACCTATCCCTTGGCCAGCAGAGTTTCCTCCGCCTCTCGGTTTGGAATTAAGTCTCCAACTCTCTACACCTTTGTGATTATCTGCAGTGCCTGGTCCTGGATAAGTTTGAAAGCTATGATGATGAAACTCAGCTCATCCAACGAGCCCTGTCTCTCCTGGAGGAAAACAGGTTCTGGGCTGGAGTGGTATTCCCTGACATGTATCCCTGGACCAGCTCCCTACCTCCCCATGTGAAGTACAAGATTCGGATGGACATTGATGTGGTGGAGAAGACCAATAAGATCAAAGACAGGTGATGATGCTTCAGTTTGGGTTTGCAGGGTTTCTCCCAAATCCATGGGGAATTATATTTGGTAGAGTGGAGGATTAAGTGTAAACGCAGCCTATAAATCAAAGGAAGGTCAATTAAATGGGAGGAGGTATGATTTGAGCAGATCCAAGTAGATAGAGCAATCACCTTGTGACTCACAGTCATTCCTGAGTTAATGCTGTGATCCAAAGTAGAACTAGATAGTCTGGGAACATTTAGGACAATGGTTCTCAAGCTGTGGATCACCATCCCTTTGGAGGTCGAACAACCTTTTCACAGGGGTTGCATATCAGATATCTCACATATCAGATATTTACATTATGATTTATAACAGTCACAAAATTAGAGTTAAGAAGTAGCAACAAAAATAATTGTATGGTTGGGGTCACCACAACATGAGGAACTGTATTAAAAGGTCACCGCATTAGGAAGGTTGAGAACCACTGATTTAGGAGAATGTTTCAAGAGATTGAGTTCTAAGGTAAGTTGGGCTCATAAAGTGAGTGGGTTGCCCGTCCCCACATACATCCTTTTTCCCTTCATCCTGTGTCTTTTTAGGTACTGGGATTCTGGTCCTAGGGCGGATCCTGTGGAAGACCTCCGGTACATCTGGGGAGGGTTTGCCTATCTACAGGACATGATTGAACATGGAATCACAAGGAGTCAGACCCAGGCAGAGGTTCCTGTTGGAATCTACCTCCAGCAGATGCCTTATCCTTGCTTTGTGGATGACTCGTGAGTCCCAGGCCTCGATCATCCTCCCTGAGCTGAAGTAAACAGGGGTGCTCTCAAGGCTTCAGTGTCCCCTGAAGGAACCTCAGGGACTGGGGCCAGACTCGGGGGGAACAGGGTTCTAACTGAAGAAGCTGCTGGCCCCATACTCCAGACAGAAGCAGAGGAAAAAGAAAAATCGTAGGGTGTTGGGGTACCCAAGGGGCGTTGAAGGCTAAACAGTAGGAGTTGAGGCTGAAGGAGGGGGTGCCGGCTGTTTAAATTTCCACTCCGTAGTATGTTTGGTATGTGGAAGGGTTAGGGTCAGAGCGTTTGCCCACTGATTGCCAGATCAGCAGATTTGGACGCATGGCAAGTAAGTCTGGTTCCCAGGAGCCTCAGAATAATGCAGCTCCTTGCCTAATTAACATTCCTATGATGTATGTTTGGTGAAAAGGTAGAGGAATGTTGGATGAGTCTGGCCTCCTCCTCTGACCTCCCCCCGTCCTAAAGCCTGTCCATCTGTTGGCTAGTAGCATGCTAAGCAAACAGCCTACTGTTTTGTTGAAAATAGATTTTCGGAGTGATGGAAAAAGGGACAGAGAAGAAGAGGTGCTCAGAAGGCTGATTACCTTGGTAGATGGGGTCAGAAACCCTCCTGAGCTATAGTTGGCTTAGGAATTTAGCTCCTGGGGTGTCGGGAACACTGGGTAAGTCACTATAGCCCTTGTGTGTGGCTGTGGGGTTCAGGAAGCAGAGACAGCAAAACGTAAAGGAAAGAGGCCAGTTGCCAGCTGGAGAGGTTGTAAACTAAAGCCTAGCGTGCGTACAGGAAAGCTGCTCTCAACACTGTGGCCCATCCTTCTCCAGCTCTGTGGAAGGCGGCAGAGATAACAGTGGCTGTTGAGCCATTAGTTTTCCTTTGGATAAGAAGCAGAGATGAGAAGTAAAGCCAAGGGCAAAAGCCCAGGTCCACTTTCCGGTTAGAAGGGGAGGAGCTGGCAGGGAAATGAGTAGGTGTGGAGAGGCAGTAGGAATTGGGGTCATTCAATATGGGAGAGTCCTCTGGCGGCCAGCTCTAGAAGTGCATGCTTTTTGGTGGTTGGGCTCTCTCCCTAGGGCCATTTTGAGTGAAACTATCCTCCCACGCTGGCATTGGGCCCTTCCTGTGACAACACCCAACAGTTTCAATAGATAATAATCCCAAGGGCTTTACTGGTGCATCATCCCCAGGGAAAGCCTGAAAAGCTAACCCTAACTTGATTCCTTCTTGTTAAATCCATCTTGCTTGCTGAGAACATATCCCAGGATGGATCTACTCCATGTATTCATGGCTGATGGAATCAGTGACTGTTGAATCTCTGATTTGTCCCAATCACAACCTATGTCAACTGGTCTACGGTCTTTCCCATGAGCCTTTACGGGGAAGGTCTATGCTTTATAACAGAGATGGTATGGTTTTCTTCCTACACTTTCTGTATAGAGCATTCATCTGGGCTGTCTGGAAAGACACCATCTTGCTCTAAAGAAAAAGTGGCTAATGTGAAAGGTATTTTTAAAAGTCCAACCTAGTGAAGGTCCCATGATTTATTTTTCTCCTTTCCTTCCCTTTCCTTCCCTTTCCTTCCCCTCCCCTCCCCTCTCCTCTCC